CTGCTGTTTCCTGGTATCTATTCTTTTAAGAGTTAAAAAATATATATATATATTTTTTAGAGGGCACATGTCTTTGTCTCATCCCAAAGAGACAAAGACAGACAGAGGGAAAGTGAGAAATCACCTCCTGCAGGGATGGCCACACTGCAATTCCTTCTCCATTCTCCTCTTAGGATTTTGGGCACACAAATACACACGCACCCAGTATGTCCTTGAAGCCACCTAGTCCAGGACTCAACCACACAGCTGGCCATGTGGGATCTTAACGACCTTAAGGACCATACCAGGGGCTGGCCTGGAATTTGTCTATTCTAATGTGGCTGAAGAAATTTTTTAAAAAAAGAATGATTTATTTAATTTTATTTATTCATTTATTTACTTTAAATATATGACCAGAGAGAAAGGAAACCACCAGGTCCGGGACTCGAACTGTGGTCGACAATGTGGGAGTGTCCAGCACCTTATCCACCATGCCACCTTCTGGTTCTGAAGAAATGTTTTTAATTCGGGAACCAGCAGTTAGTGTAATGGCTATGTCGCTGGACTCCCACATAGTTGACCGCGGTTCACGTCCTGGACCAAGTGGCTTAGAATTCACGCCGGGCGCATGTGCGTGCATGCCCAAGATCCTGAGAGAATGGAGGAGAAGGGATTGCAGTGTGACCATCCCCCCTGGGGGGTGATTTCTCACTTTCTGTCTCTATGTCTCTGTCTGTCTGTCTGGTGAGCGCACGCGCCCTATAGTGGAAATCTCTCAAAAAAAGAGAAATGTTTTTAATTCAAAAGCTGAATAATGGGATCAGTGGATGGCATAATGGTTACATCACTGGACTCCCACATAGTCGACTATGGTTAGAGTCCTGGACCTGATGGCTTAAAACTCATGCTGGGTGCATGTGCATGCATTTTTTTTTTTTATAGAGATTTTCGCTATAGGGCGTGTGCACTTGCCAGACAGACAGAGAGAGACATAGAGACAGAAAGTGAGAAATCACCCCCCAGGGGGGATGGTCACGCTGTAATCCCTTCTCCTCTATTCTCCTCTTGGGATCTTGGGCACGCACACACACACACGTGCCTGGCCTGAGTTTTAAGCCACTGGGTCTGGGACACGAACTGCGGTCGACCATGTGGGAGGCCAGCGAAGTGGCTTAAACTCATGCCAGACGCATGTGCGTGCCTTTGAAAATCCTGAAAGGTGACTGGAGGAGAAGGAACTGCAGTGTGGCCACCCCCCCCCCCCAGGGAGGTGATTTCTTGCTTTGTCTCTGGTGAGCACACATGCCCTACAGCAAAAATTTCTCAACTAAAAGCTGAATAACAATATAAACAAATGTGGAGGAGAGGGTATTTACAGTCTACTGTCACCATTTTGGTGCATTTTCTTTGAGTTTTTAAAGTGTATCTTATTTATGCCAACTCTTCCATTGTAATTTAACATTTAACTAGTTAATATAATTCAATGTCCATTTTCCCTCTTTGCTACAAAATTCATAAGCATCAACAAATATACTTTTACCATATGCTATCTCACAGAAATTTTTGGTCCCTAACTCAAGAACAGGTATATGAACGAACACCTCACCATTGATGCCACCTGGACCCTCATCTACATCCATCTGGTTCTCTTCTTCTTGGTCTAGATTGACATCAGGTGTTTCCACACGGATGATGGATTTATTGAGCAATCGGAAGGCTTCCTTCACATGTTTAGGTTGAACCTGGATTAATAAATGAGGTAGTTCAGTTAGTTTTGAAGTTTCTGCTATAGGGTGTCTACGATTATTGGAGAGAGAAAAAGAGAAAGCAAGAAAAGACCCCTCAGGGGAGATGTCCACATTGCAATCCTTCCTCCTCCATTCTCCTGTCAGGATTTTCGGCACACGTGATTCTCAAGCCACTGCATCTAGGACTTGAACCATGTTGTTGGCTATGTGGCATCAAGCCGCCTTAATCTCCGCACCACCTGCTGGCCCTATTTTTTGGTATATTAAATAGCTTTTCTCCAAAGTCAGTGGTAATTTGGTTTTCTCCCATACATACATACAATATGAGACAGAACTATAAATTCAGTTAGAATGGCTATCAATAAAATCACTGCCAATATCAAGCGCTGGCAAGGAGGCAGAACTCATTCTCATTCACTGAAGGAAGAAAGATACCATATGACCAACTGCATAGTTTGAATCCTGAACCAGGGGGCTTGAGAAACTCTCCAGGTTTATGTGTGTGCATGCTCAAAATCCCAAAAGGAGAAAGAGATGGAAGAGAAGAGATTGTAGCATGACCTCTCCCCATGGAGGGTACCTTCTTCCACTTTCTCTTTGTCTCTGTCTCTGACAAATTAAAAAACATATATAAATGAAGTAACTGGCAGTTTTACTAAACACACATATAACCTATGATCCAAGATGTCCACTCCTAGGCATACACTCACTTAAGTGTACACATATACACATCCAAAAGTCATGTACTTCCCTTAAGAACCCCAAATGGAAACTATTCAACTGTTCATTAACAGAATGGGTGAACAAATATGTTTATGAACAGACTTACACAACAATGGAAAGAACCATTTAGATAATGAAGGAGAAAAAAAGATTTGGGACCAGCAGATGATGTAATGGTTACGTTGCTGGACTCCCAAGTAGTTGACTTTAGTTAGAGTTCCAGACCTGGTGGCTTAAAACTCATGCTGGGCACATGTGTTTGCATGCCCAAGACCCTGAGAGGAGAATGGAGTAGGGATTGCGGCGTGGCCACCCACTACGGAGGGGGTAATATCTCACTTTCTGTCTGCCTATGTCTCTCTGTTGAGTGCACATGTCCTATAGCAAAAATTTCTGTCTAGAAAAGAGAAAAAAAGATTCTACCTTTAGTATCAAGAAAAATGTCAAAATATTAATAAATGCAAGTTATATGAAAAAAAGTTTAAACACTACTGAGTGAAACAAAAACCATAAGTTGAAAGATAAGGACATTTGTGGTGGTCATTAGAACTGTTCACAAATGTTTGCATCTCTCACTTGGGGCACAACTAGTAGAAAGCACTTCCCCACCTACTTGAACTTAAGTATGGCCACATTAATTTTTCTGGTCAGTGAAATGTGAGCACTAGGGTCATTTCTGGACTGAAGGTGAGCAGAGAGCACATGGCTCACCATCTTTTCTCTTCCTTACCTCTGTCATGGAGGAAGCACATGTTAAGACTGAGCCTTTTGGCTGAATCTGAATGATAACAAGAGAAGAGCCCCCTGTTGACCTACCAGATGAATAGCCTCAGCAAAACAATGTTTCTGATTTATGTGACCGCGATTTTTATCGTAGTACAATATAGTCAACCCTGTTATTTTTTAATTGCTGGAAAGAATCCCCAGAGAGAGAAAGCACCCCCAAATGGGTCACGGGCACACTGCAAGCCCCCTTCCATTTTTCCGTCCTGTAAAGATTCTGGGCACACACGTACATGCATCTGGTGTGTTTCTGAAGCTGCTGGGGCTGGGATCCGAATTGCAATCAGCCACACGGGACCCAGCTGCCTTAATACCTAGGCCACAGGGTTGGCCCCCTATAATGTTCTTGAATAGGAAAAGTCATTGTAAAAATGCAAAATGGGCCAGCTGATGGCATGAAGTTAGAACAGAACTGTGGTTCCCGGGAAGAGGGTCAACACTTAAAAAAAGGCACAAGGGACCCTTCTGAGATGATAGAAATATTTTGTATCTTGAGCTGAGTCATCACAGAACGGTTTTAAAATGGTACATTATACAAACCTAAGGAGGAAAGCTCCCTTTGAGGCTGGAAGCTATATTATATATGCACTCCCAGCCCAGAGGTCAAGCACCAGAGGTCAAGCACAATATAGGGGCTAAATACATTTTTCCTGAGTGAACAATATTAATGGTAACTCACCTTCATGTGCACTGTATGACATAATTATCTCATTACTAGTAGTCTAATTACTCTACTTGATAAGTATTTGACAGTAACCTTAAAGGGAGAAACCCCAGGGTCAGTATCCTATGAACACTCGACAGTTATATAAAAATAAATCTGCAGTGAATTCTGGTATGTCTCGTTCTAAAGATAAAAACATGTCTACAGAGAAATGAACAAATCAATTTCTCTTTGCTCTCATCGTGTCAAAGTGATGCTGATACCTCATCACAGCAGTGCATCCGTGCCATTGCTTCCGAGAGACGGATCATGCTTTCGAGCTGCCGCACCGTAATCCTCCATGAAGACTTGGTTACTCCAGAACCATCTCGCTGGCGCAGACGTTTGTACTGCTCCACAATGAAATCCTCTGACTCTTTAGAAATCTGTTTTGGAGTATCACTGAAGTTAGAGGACTATTTCTACTCGAGGATTGTGCTATACATTACGTTTAAGAGCCTTCCAGATGAAGACATTCTGGGGAAACTGAAGGGTTGAAACTTTGAAGTCAGTGACAATAAATTACTACTGAAATGCCTTAAAAAAATCTATTAAGGAGACCCATGAATTCCACATACTAATTTTATGAACATGAAGATAACAGGTTTAATATTTAAGCAAATGACCATTTCTAAAAGCATATTTAATAAGCTGAAGGAATGAAGTAAGATGTAATGCCTTTTACACCTCAGGATGTCAAAGCTCATTAAACAAATCAATGCTCAGGCTATTCTTGAGGCTCAGTTAATTAACTCGTGCTGTCTTCAATGAAAAGAAAGATGTCTATATGTAAAATGGCTGCTTGACTAAATCTTGTATCTAAGAATCCTCAGGTTTTCAGAGCAAGGAACTCCAACACATTCATTAAGGAAGCATGCCAAAGCCATAGAGGGACCCGTGTGCAGTGACGGGGAACAGATGCCTTTTCACACGCAAGTCACTCCTAATTTTTATGTTTAAATGATTAGGCTTAGGGACAATGAGAGCCAACCCCAATGTTGCAGAAAACAAAGAGATGATGAATAATGAACAGCCAAGGAAACTCTCGAACATCAAGTTAGACAATGGTATAAAAAATTCAACCACAGTGAAATGAATTTTTTTCATATAATAATTTAGGAAAATGCCAAACAACAAAACACATGCACCTTATGAAGGCTTATTTTAAAAAATAAATGTCCAAGTGAGTATCCTGGGTTTGGTATAGAGTCAGTCCAATGAAATACATCAACTACTATTATATAAAGTGGTTGCAGCTCATATACCGCACAATGACCTAGAAGCAATTAAATGTTTTCTTCAGAGAAAGATTCAAGAACTTTCAGAGCACTATTGATTTAGGCACATAAACAATTTTAAGATTCTCAGGAATAATGGTTAAAAAAATATTTTTATTAGCATCTAACAAAATAAATGGAATTGTTAACAATTTTTTAAAAATTCCTTTCCCTTTACTCAACCGTCTCTAAAGAAACAAACTGTTCAAAAACAAAAGTACTCAATCTTAGGTAGACTCACAAAACAAGTACAGGTTCAGTTAATTCCATATAATACATTTGTTTGAATCTCACTTAAATATACATACCCAACTATGTCTTATTCTATTAAAAAAACAAAAGCAAAAACACAAAAGACAGGTTACCTTGGGTTTAAACTGTCTTGCAAAGAGAAGATACCTCCTGATATCATCAAGGGAATAGACACGATCAATTGACTCTTCAATTCTCGAATGCAAATCTACTATACGCCTGGCAATAGCATAGTCTGTAACCTAATGCAAAATACGAAGATCGCTGATCAGTCACAGCAATATTTACTTCAGATTCTCAGGTAACAGGAAATTACTTGTATCTAAAAATAAGTTCTCCTATGCCGCTGACAGAAGTCTTAACAGACACCACGTTTCTGAGGACAGTTTGGTAACAGCTTGATTAAAAGTCAAAAATTTAAATGAATACCTTTGCCCCACTCTAACATACCTGAAGGAAATGAACTGACTAACAACAGGAGAACTGACATTTACAAAACTCAGTACTTACTGCCTTAAGCATGCCTAGAACTCATGCAATAACACAAAAATATTTCTAAGTGGTAGATATTATCCTGATTTTATAGATGAGCAAATTGACATCCAAAGAGCTTAAGAAACTTATTCAATGGGCTAGTAGGTGGTAAAGTGGTTAAGGTGCTGGATTCCCACATGGCTGACAGTGGTTCTAGTCCTAGACCTGGAGGCTTGCTTTCTCATTTTCTCTCTCTGGTGAGCATACACGCCCTATAGCAAATTAAAATAAATAAATAAAGTCAGCACCAGGTCCGGGACTTGAACCATAGCTGGCCATGTTGGAGTCTAGCACCTTTACCACCAAGCCACTTGCTAGTCCAATAAATATTTCCTAAAAAAAATAAAAAAATAAAAAAAATAAAAAAGAAACTTGTTCAAGGTCACAGTTATTAAGAGTGGAACAAGGATTTCAATGGTTAGGTTCAGAGTCTGTGCTTTTAGCAACTGCATTATGAAGATAATCACAGAATTATTATTAACATAGAAGAAAACATGATGAAAAACTATGCAACCTACTTTCAAATGGTTCAGGAAAAAAAATGTTTAGGCACATAGAGATAGCAAAAGATAAAACAAGTGGGGCAAGGCAGGTTAAGACTACAATGGGTATTTAATATACTAGACTATTGTTTGTTTCTTTTGTTACAAGTTATATGCACTTGCCAGGGAGAGACAGAGAGAGAGAGGGAAAGTGAGAAATCATGCACGGGGGAGATGGGATTTTGGGTATGAATGAACACATACCCAGTGTGATTTTCAAGCCACAGTCTGGTACTCAAACTACACAGTTGGGTTTTTAAAAGCCACAGTCTGGTTCAAACTACACAGTTGGCCTTGTGGGATCCAACAGCCTTAACCTCTACACCACCTGTTGGCCCCAACTAGTCTATTTTTAGCAGCTTTTCTCTAAGACTGAAATGATTTCCAGCTAAAAAGTTTCTGAAAAGGGGCCAGCAGGTGCATGGTGGTTAAGGTACTGGACTTCCATATAATTGACTAGTGGTTCGAGTCTTGGACCTGGTGGCCTGAAACTCACGCTGGGCATGTATCTGTGCCCAGAAACCTGAGAGAAGAGTGAAGGAGACTGCAGCATGCCACACACCTGGTGTGAGTTTCACTCCCCCTGGGATTGATTTACTACTCTCTCTCTGCCTCTGATAAGCACATGCACCCTATAGCAAAAATCTCTTAAAAAAAAATAAAGATTTTGAAAAAGTATCCCCTTAAATACTTTAAAGGTTCATAACTGGATCTCCTTTGCTCTCAACATAAATTTAATGACAGATCAATAGAAAAAATATGAAAGTGAGAAAACTCCCAATTGTGGGACCAGCAGGTAGTATGGTAGTTAAGGTGCTGGACACTCCCACATGGCCAACCATGGTTCAAGTCTCAGACCTGGCGGCTTGCTTTCTCACTTTCCCTCCTTCTCTCTCTGTCTCTCTGGTCAAATTAAAAATAAATGAATGAATAAATAAAATTAAATATATAATTAAAAAAAACCTCTCTCAATTGTCTGCAGATTAAATGCCTGCATGCATCTATAAAGGAAAACAAACAAAACCCAAAAATCCAAGCCCTCCAACAGTCACGAATGGAAGGCAGCTTTCATTTAGACAACATCTGAAGTTCACTGTAAGCGCGAGGCATGCACTGTGTAGCCTACATGCTCAGCAGTACAGCTCACAATGTTAGCCTCCACACACGGTCATTTCTGTATGTTACAATCTAAGCATATTTATAATTTTTCACTCCATCTTAAGAATGTCACATAATCAGAAAAAAATGCAATATACATTCGACAACTTTACAATGAGAGAAGAAAAAAATGACTTAAGATTCAGAAAAAATTTTCCTTGACATCCCAGTTTTGTTTCTAGGAGACTGAAAAACCAACAAACAAAACAAAACAATATTTTATAAGGTTTTTGCCACAGGGTGTGTGCATTTCCTAGAGAGACAGTGAGAGGGAAAGTGAGAAAATGATCCCCTAGGGGGTGTAGCCATGCTGCAGTCCCTTCTCCTCCATTCTCCTCTTGGGATTCTGGGTATGCATGCACATGTGCCTAATGTAATTTTCAAGCTGCCAGGTTAGAAACTGGAACTGTGGTCCGGCATGTGTGAGTCCAGGGCCTTAACTACTATGCCCCCTATTGGCCCTGGTAATTTTGTTAAAAATACATTTTTATAGAAATTATGTGCTGGTGTTTAAGCTGTTGGGGCCACGATTCACACCGTAATTGGCTATATGGAATCCAATTCCCTACATACAGGGCTTAACTGTTGTACTATGTGGCCAGCCCTTTTATGAAATTGTTATAGAATATGTTTGGGAGCTGACTTTAACGCATTTCCCTCTTTTTTTCTTTTGAGAATTAAAAAATGGTAACAAAAATAAAAGCCTTCATACTCAATGACAGTGGAATCAGGAATTCCAATGACTTCATTCTGAATAACTTACTATACTTTTGGCCCAATCCTGTGCCACTGAAGGAAATGAAAGGTCAACGAAAGTCAATGCACACACACCGCCAGCTGCTGAAGTGCACCTCTAGCCTCTTCTCAGCTACTCAAAATGCAAATGAAAAAGGAAGTTAAGAGTGACAGCTCACGAGGTTACCTCATTACATTCATCCACAAGGATAAAGAAGAGATCAAATCGGGACATGATGGGAGCTGACAAATTTATGTTCTGTTTCAGTGATTTTGATCTGTCATAGTGTCCACTGATTGGATTTGCTGCTGCCAAAATGGACGTCCTGGCATTCAGGGTAGCCTGAGCACGGAAGAAAAAATTGTGACAAGTTTAAAAATACACATATGACAAAGTATTTAATCTAATTCATAATTAATTAAATGCAAACTGAAATAAGGAGATAATATTTTTCACCTACTGGATCACAACACTTGAAAGAAGATAATACACAGTACAGTTCGGAGGCACTCCTATACAACGTTGGTTGTACGACGCATACACCTTTATTTTTAAGAGAGATTTTAGCTATAGGGTGTGTGCACTCACCAAAGAGACAGAGACAGAGAGACAGAAAGCAAGAAATCATCCCTTGGGGGGATGGCCATGCTGCAATCCATTCTCCTCTAGTCTCCTCTTGGGATTTTGGGCACACATGCACAAGCACCCAGCTGTGAGCTCAGGCCGCCGGGTCCAGGACTCAAACAACAGTCAACTACATGGGAGTCCAGTGATGTAACCATTATGCCATCTGCTGGTCCCTATGATATACACATTTTTATTTTTTGGAGAGGTTTTTTGCTATAGGGCGTGTGTACTCACCAGAGAGAGACAGAGACAGAAAGCGAGAAATCACCCCCCAGGGGGGATGGCCACGTCACAATCCCTTCTCCTCCATTCTCCTCTCGGGATATCTTGGGCACACACGCACACGCGCCCGGCGTGAGTTTAAGCCACCGGGCCCAGGACTTGAACCGTGGTCAACTACATGGGAGTTCAGCAACATAGCCATTACGCTAACTGCTGGTCCCGATGTACACATTTTAAACCAATTAATTCACTAGGAATCTATCTGACAGTTAGGTACCAGGTATGTGTGTTCAAGAATGTTTGCTACAATACTGTTTGTAATGAAAAAGACTAAAAATGACCCAAATGTCACTCTACAGGACACTAAAAAACCAAACTGTGGCATATACAACTGAATACCACAGAGTAATTAAAAACCACAGTTAATGCTTATTTATGAAAGCGGCACATACTCAATAGATACCTCTGAATATCTACTGGTGTGAGGAATTGTGGGGAAAGATTTCTCATTTAATGTATACTTTGGTGTACTGTTAACATTTTTAACTCCTAGAATCTATTGCTTTTATTGAGAAAAAGTTTACATTTGGGACCAGCAGTTAGTGTAATGGCTATGTCGCTGGATTCCCACGTAGTTGACCGTGGTTCGCGTCCTGGACCCGGGGGCTTTGAACTCACGCCGGGCGCGTGTGTGTACGTGCCCAAGATCCCGAGAGGAGAATGGAGGAGAAGGGATTGCGGCGTGACCATCCCCCCTGGGGAGTGATTTCTCACTTTCTGTCTCGATGTCTCTCTCTGTCTGTCTGGCGAGCGCACGCGCCCTATAGCAAAAACCTCTCCAAAAAAAAAAATAAATAAAAAAAAAAGGAAAAAGTTTACATTCTAATGTTGGTTTCCACATTTACTTTAATTTAAATAATATGTTCACTTTTGGTTATTTTAATTTACAAGAATTCTTTTATCAAATAATACTGAAAACTTGTTAATGATAATTTGAGAAAAGAAATACTAAAAATTTACCAGTAGTGCCTCTAATTTCTGTCACAGGAACAGATATATATGTATATAAAACACACACTACCCAAAACAATACCTACCATTTGGAAAAAATACTTCTCAGAGGTTGTATTTTTATTAAACAGCATTACTTGCTGAAGTAATGAGAATTTGATCAAGGTGAAATTCTCTGTGTTACACTGATCAGAAGGCCTGATGCAGTGGTCAGCCGTGGACACACATACCTTCACTCCTGCTTTAGTGATGGATATGGTCTGCTGTTCCATAGCTTCATGAATGGCAACCTGATCCCGCACGTCCATCTTATCAAATTCATCAATACAACACACACCCTGTAACCAAACAAATCTAGCCTAAGAAGCTGCCTCTGAGATATAAAAGGACAAGTCAACTGACAAAGTTCGCCATCACAGAGACTTTCCCATTCTCTAAACAAGTGGAAGCTGGATAAGTAAGAATTCCCAATTTCCTCTATTAGACAATACAGTTCAATAGATTGCAGAGCTAGAAAGAAATACACACTCGACTCACTCAGGACTAAGAGCAAAACTTAAAATAAACATTTACTATAAAGAATGTGGGAACATGGTGCAATCTTCAAGGTCAAGCCATTCTGGGTCACTACAGGAGACGGTAGGGTGATGACGGACCATCATGAATATAAACAGGTAAACCTGCGACTTATATGCATTCACGGATGGAAGTGGTTAACATAAAGTTCACCATGTAACTTATGACTAGGCCTGTTCATGATGCTGTCATGGTCTGAAAAGGAAACAAAATGCTAGCAAGTACTTATCACAGCAACCACACATGCACAGGCCAGGTAACACATTCTAGAAAAGCTCAGAAAATGCTGATTGATGATGATGATCCCAATTACATCCTAGGTTAATAAAACTAGAAATTATTTACTGCTTTAGAAGAACATCTTTCTGATACAAACTTGCTTCTACTGATAGTGTAAGGGTATTCTGATTTCTTTACATCCCGAAGTGTAAAATGTCCTTACGTTATCAGCCAACATCAGAGCTCCAGCCTCAATGACAAACTCATGAGATTCTTCATCTCTCACAACAGCTGCTGTTAGGCCAGCAGCACTGGATGCTTTGCCACTGGTGTAGACAGCTCTGGGGCTGAACTCCTCCACATGCCTGTTAAATGATCAGATAAAGACTCGTTAATACACGACTATAAGCATCCTTTGCAGGAATATCAGCTGTCTGGGGCTATGTCAATGAAGTTTAAATTTAAATTTTTCTTAAAAAAAAAACAAAAAAACCAAAAAAAACAAATGCTATTGGGCACATGTGTTTGCTGAGGAGAGTGACAGCCAGAGAAAGTGAGAAAGCATCCCTGCGAAGAGGAATGGGAATTGGGGGAGTTAACTGTACCACAATCCTTTCTCTTCCACATCTTCTCGGAATTTTGGGCATGTGCGCATAGCTGTCTGGCATGTTTTTCAAGCTGTCATGTCTAGGATTCAAACCACACAGTTGGCTATGTGGAATCCAGCTGCCTTATCCACCATGCCACCTGCTGGCCTTACGGTTTTTAAATGGATCTAAATCCATTCCTGTCAAATGGAAGATGATCTTTTTTTTTTTTAGAGAGATTTTTGCTATAGGGTACATTAGTGCTTGCCAAAGAGACATAGACAGAAAGCGAATAATCACCCCTCGGGGGGATGGCCACACTGCAATTCCTTCTCCTCCATTGTCCTCTCAGGATTTTGGACATTAGGACCAACAGTTGGCGTAATGGCTATGTTGCTGGACTCCCACATAGTCAACTGTGGTTCAAGTCCCAGACCCGGTGGCTTAAACTGATGCTGAGTGCATGTGCGTGCGTGCCCAAGATCCCAAGAGGAGAATGGAGGAGAAGGGATTGGGATGTGGCCATTCCCCCGGAGGGTGACTTCTTGCTTTCTGTCTCTCTGGAGACTGCACATGCCCTATAGCAAAAACTTTTCAAAAAAAAAAAAAAGGATTTTGGCAAT